AACAAATCGTTTTGTGTTGTTAGCTATATATTTACCATTATAGAGTGAATAATTTACCTTTCGATTTTAAAGGATTAAAATATCTAATTTAGATATATTCAGGCAAAATATTACAATTTTAAAATGCTGATGACTCGGTATAATATTGAATAATGTAACAATTGAGAATTCGGTCCCACTTTGGAACTCAAATCTGGTATGTGGTAAATCTGCAAGACGGAGGCTACGCAGATTCTGCAATATGCGACGTCTTCATGATAAATATATTATATCATGACTATGCGATGGATCGTACCTACGCATAGGAGTGGAGCAGGCAAAAAAAAAAAACACGGTAGAGTACTAACACGTATAATGTACCGCGTGTAGTAGTTGTTGCCGGTTTTTAATAAAAATATAACGTCGTAACGGTCGCAAAACAAAACAAATTCGTTTCGTCGGGTCGTATCTTAATTTATTATATCGTTTTGCCCGCGCTGTTTTACTCTCTTATTCTCTTCATTTCTGCTAATTATCCAAACCCGTTCGCGTTGCCATCATTGCTGTGATGTGTATATATATATGTGCGAGGTGTGCTATGCCGACACTATATACACTCACAAACACTCACACACACTGCAGCACACAGGAAATTATATGCCGCACTCGTGGGGCAAACACACTCGATCAGGACGATTCGAAACAGCTCGTAACAATAAAACAAAAATGTAACACGTCTAATAAACGTCAAGTCGACTGACAGATTAGCGCCGCGCCGCCGCCGCCGCCGCGTCATATATATATAATAAATAAATGTGTAACGTATAATAATGCGAGTATATACTCGCCCGACGCGAGTGTGTGTGTGTGTGTGTGTGTGTGTGTGTGTGTGTGTGTGTGTGTGTGTGTGTGTGTGTGTGTGTGTGTGTTATAGTATAATACTATATACAATAATATAATATAATGCATTCTAATACGTATATATACAAGAGGTTTGTGTTTGCACAGGATATTTTTACGAATCATCAACGCGACGGTCTTGTATATATATTTAGGACTTACAGCAGTGCTCGTACATAGACGTCATCATCACTACGCGGTTCACGAGCAAAACAAACATACTTTCGAGGGCGACCAATTCGTAAATCGTACATATACCAACGACACTAATTATATGATGATATTTAATTATGCGTTTTTATGATATACCTGTATTCTATAATATAATATTTAAATATTTAACATTTTTTTATACACAATTCGATATCCAGAAATGAATTTAAAATGTTAAAACCACTGCAGTTTTTTGCTTTATGCAGTTGGTATAAAAAGTTTAAAAAAAACATAGTTTCTATTTTTTAAATTTGGGTGATGAGTGATGACATTTGAAATTTAGAACCAAGTGTTAGGTCAAATCTGTGTAAAAAAATCGGTCAATTCGAATCGTGTGCTAAAAATATAAGATTTGTTGTTAAAAATGTGAAAATTTCACAAAATGTGTACTTCCTCTTCTAGGTTCCCCCTCAAAACCAATTTCAATACAAGGTCATCCGACATGTTACCTAAAATCGTGACCATACCCGTAAAAGACGCACTTGATATAAAAGATAATACCTACATATACGCCGGTCGTTCGTGCCGCGGTTGAACGAATAATATTATAATATAATATTTATTCTGGCACTGGCTGCAACGCGTTCATGTTGTGGTGACGGCGAATAATATAACATAATACACAGATTGCTGTTTCAAAGGGTTGTAAATCGAGACATTATATTGTATGCTATTTATACGCATATTATTATTATAATATTACACTACTGTAGGGGAGGAATGCTACACGTCGCGGTTCTCGCACCGAATATTTCAGAGGGTTTTTAAACTTTCGTACACCACGGTGTATACATTATTACAATAGGTAACCCCATCCTCGTGCATCGCTATGCTCGGGTCACACGGCTCAGGGTGAATTTATTATATCGAAAAACCTACTTTTGTGTGTGTATGTTAAGCGCGTAAAGTCGTCGGTGTGACGTTCCGGTTGAGAGGTTGAATGAGAGTGTATACAGAGGTGGAAGAGCAGAAAAACGAATCGAAATTCCTCGCGCCGCGCACACGCGAGTACATAATATTATATTATATGCTCTTCGCACCGAGAAAATACAATATTATATTATTATACTGCGAGCTATATACGCCTAGTAGTAGTACCTAGCTGTATATTATACACACAAGCGTTTTACAATAACACATACGGTAAAAACACACACACACTGCACAAACCTACATATATATATATATGAATAATATTTTTATATTATATATAGACGGCGAGCACAGCACATTATAAATGCGGCGTCGCGGGTCAGAACGTGATAATAGCTGCTGCAGTTGTCGCGCCTGGCGAGGAGGGCTAGCCGTTATTTGAATTTCACGAACGGCGAAAAAAATACCGTCTCCGCCACGATAGTCGAGAGGTGTCGTCGTCGTCGTGTGCTCGTTTATGTATACGGCGTTATTATATGTATATAAGCATAGTATATATTATTTAAATGAGAGAATAGAATAAGTATATATACGTAGCAGGCGAATTCCCCTCCCACCACCCCCGTGCACCCTACATCCTGCATATTATATTCCTCTTGCCGCCACTGCCGCCGTCGTGCGCCGACCGTCATCGTTTCCATTCTCTACGATTTTATACACCTAAACCGCCTATACTTATATATATATATATATATATATATATTATGTATTTATGTATATTATCGAAGTTATTTCTACTTTTTTTCCGTTTCTTTACGTTTTCTTCCCCTCCGCCGCCGCCCCGGGTATATACCCACACACACTCGTATATGCGTTACAACAATAACAACAACAACAATAATAATAATATAACGTAAGTCGTTCGTCGCTATTGCTGCAAGCCCAGGTGACAATGGTCGCACGATTCGACCCGGAGCCGTCGACGACGACACATTTGCGGCGGCGGTGGTAGTCTCGAGGACGGGGACTGGGCGCGCAAAGGCGGCGTATATAATGATATTGTAATAATGTGCTGCAGCTTATACAGAGGCGATTCTTCCCACTCGCCAGGACAATATTATTTTCATTATTATTATTATTATTATTGTAACGGATAAACGACGGCGATAAATAAAAATATTACAATATCATGCCGCCGCCGTCCGGGCGACACTAAACGCTGGCACGTTGCGGTTTTGCCTACGCCGAGCGCCTCGCAAATATCCCCCTCGTCGTCTTGCCGCTCCGAACGTTACAAATATATTCTTAAATCGTGTTTTGCACACACACACATTTTAATATTATCGTCGTCTTTGTCGCGGTCGTCGTATAATATATCGAAGAATGTGCCGCGTATAATGTGTAAATGTGTATAATACGAAAATTCCAATACGCGCGTACCCGCAGCAGCGGCTTTTTATTATTATGAAAATATATTATATTATTAGAAGAAGATAAAAACGCATCCAGATATCCGACGAAGGTTCATTCAGAAAATTACAATAAACGGCAGAGTACCGATGTCATGATCTCTCTAGTGAGTGATGATAGGTATCATAAATATTATAATACTATGTAGCCAATGAGCCTATATTATTGCCTTTAACACATCGTAACGAGACAAAGAAAAGAGATATTCTAAACTTTTAGCATATTATAATACTTTTTGGTTCAAAATATTTTATTATTTGAGAGATTGTAATAGATGAAATACGTTTAAGTTGTTAGCTTCTAGGTTATATAATATCAGGTGTGGTTGGTGGAATTCAAATATTTATTATTATAACGTTTGCGGGGACGTCTTTACAGGCCGAATTGTCGAGAAAAATATAGAAAAACTCGTGATGAATTATATACAAAGGTACCTCCGTGTCTGCGGGCGTAGAGATTAAGAGGTGTACATTTAGTAAGAGGGACGAGATGGAAGGTAATGGACCGCACCACCGTGTGTTTCCAACCACGACGGGAACTATATATATAATTTTAATCCTGTTAGAATATCGAATTTCTTTAATACATGTGTGAGTATACCATGGAGTGGTAGGTACCTAAAATAAAACAATATGAAAACTATAAGTGGTGACGTGCGGAGTCGTATAGTATATTTAAAGACGACAGAGCGGTGGACCGACTGTAGAGTGGGAGAGTATTGATGTTAATAAGGGTCGGGATGTGTTTTCTTTGTACTACAACAAATATTATATTTTAACAGACCGATTTTATTTAGTTTATTTTTCTACATCTTCGAATGGAGAGTTAATTTAATTTGAGTAGGTTGATTTTGCAAACATCGTAAAACTGAACATCGGACAAAAGTAGATGTATTATAATAATAATATTGTAAAAGCGGAATCCGCTGTCCGCGTACCTATACATACTCGATCACCAAATTACCCGTAACAACCGGTCGAATGGCGAATATTCCAGGAATAAATATATATATTAATGCGCATGTATAATATTATATTACACTGCGGCGATCGGACGTGTAGTGTTTTTACTTTATTTCACACGTGAGGAGGAGGGGGCGGATTACATAGAGGGCGGTGTATAAAACGACTTTATTCATGTCGATATTTAACTCATTAATACGTCGAATTTCGACCGGTTGCAGTGGTCTGCGCGTGCAGGACTTAATAAAAAATTTCCGACACCTGTTATCATAAGGATATGACTTATATGTGTCGTGTTGAGATTTGAAATAGATGTGCAAAAAAAAGCTGCTAAATGGGTAACACAAGCCAAACAACAACGTCATACTACTCATACTGGTCCGACGTTCATCAACTTTAAAAATGATAACGATACAGAGACTTTGGTTGTTTCTTCCAAAAGTAATTTTTGAATATATCATTTTGAACAATAAATAGAATTTGCTAGTACGTCAGAGCTCGAGTTTATCGCAAAGGCGGCTCCGTTGAAAGGAAATCGACAGTATTTATAGCATTTACGCATTACTCGTCCGGCGTGGTCATCGTGTCATCGTGTGCCGGGAGTGAGGTAGCAGCCGGTCGAGGGTCGAACGGGCGCGGACAGTCGCTTTGCCATGGGTTGGTAAAGCCGTCCGGTCCGGACCGCGCCGTGGGTGCCGAGCGCACTTTTGGCACCACTGGCCGAGAGGAGCGCGCATCACCGTCGGAGACGGCGGCTAGAGAGGACCGACGAATCGACCGGGCGGATGTTTTTAACGCGGGCATCCGCCGTAGCGACCCGGTCAAACCGGCCGCCTCGTGCGTTTTCCACGACTGTCCCCGCCACCGCGCACAACCGGCCGGAACCGTCCGCCACCGCGTCAGCACGTCATTTCCTCTTCCTCTCCCGCCGTCACACCCTCCCGTGCATTGCACGCGTATTCGGTATTATTATTACTATTATTATTGTTGTTGTTGTTTTAATATTTTATCGAACGACGGGCGCCCGTCCGGCGGATACCGGCGGCCCGCACGTCACCGTTTTCGCTCCGTTCGTACCGCGCGGCGACGGCAGACCGCCATTTATACGTTATACCGCAGTCAACGGTCGTACACGAGCTCGGGCGCACACATGTTAACTGCCATCGGCTTTGCTCGTCATTTTTGTCATTATCATCGTCGTCGTCGTCATCATTAACTTTTTACTTCTCTAATAAGGTACACACAAACGTCACCGTGTTTAAGTACACCATAATACCACGATATACGACAGCCGGTGCATAGGGTATTATTGGCGGTTAGGAACCTCTGCCTATCGGCCGAACGACTTCAATATGGTCTATTTCACGGAAAAACTCATAAACGAGATACGCAAGCGGTCGTGCATATGGGACACGGCTGACGTGAACCATCTCAACAAGGAAGTGCTGGCCAACATGTGGACGGAGATCGCTGAAAATCTTTACTCCGATTGGCACTCAATCAGCAATTTCGATAAACGCGACAGAGGTAAGCAACCTATCCTTGAATCGTTATTGTTGTTTTATGTTCCTCAACTATATTTACTGATGATATTTTTCCGCATAGTTTCCGATGTCAAGAAAAAGTGGACAAACATCAAAGACTCGTTCGTCAAGGAAGTCAAGGGCAATAAACCAAGAAAGTCCTTACGCCAGCCCGAGGAGCACCGGAAAAAGTACTACCTGTTCGATCACCTACAGTTTCTGATACCGTTCATCCAAGACACGAAATCCGGTGGCGGTAGTCGATTGGCCGAAGACCGCAGTGCCGGCAAACCTGCGAGCAAGAAAATGCGTAAAAACACGCTTCACGGCGAAGGTTCGTCGCGGAACGCACTATCAATAACGGCAGCGGCCTCGGAAACCCCAGCCAAAAGACCGGAAATGCTGCAACCGGATGTGCAGCAGCACGCTGACTTGCTCAACAACTTCGCTGGCAAGACGGCCGCTGCCGCGCTGTGTCAGCTGGACGGCGACTTGTCGTTTATGGTGTCGCTGTTGCCCACCATCAAGTCGATGAACGAAAAGCAAAAGATCAACTTCAAGATCGGAGTCCTGCAGCTCATATCCCGGATCAAGTTCGACGAAGTGCAAAATAATGCACCGGGTGTGGCCACGTACGAGCAGTTGACCGCGGCGACCGCCAATCGCCTTAGCTTTCCCGCGCCCCGTCCAGTGCGTCAGGTGGCCGGCGTCAAACACCCCCTCGTCAACGCTGCCGTGTCGTCTACTCAGCAGCAGCACCACCGCAACCACCAACTCCGCAACTTACAGCCGGCCGTCGAGCACGAGACGCCGCGGGTTAAACATCCGGACTCGAGTCCGGAGTCAACGTCGTGGTGTTGCGACGACACCAGCACCGAAGAAGATGTGGAATGTACCCCTGATTATACACCATCCTAATTGTACATACACGTACGTCAACTCAACGATTAATTATATTTTATTTGAAATCTATAAAAAATAATGATTTTTCTTGAGTAAGCATTATTTTTTTTTAAATGTTTCCTCTTGTTTTTAGTATAATATTGAATGCTATATTAAAATATGTGGATGTCATATGTCTATAAGTACTGTGAATAAAAATGTACTTTTGTTTCTACGCGCCAGTGTTTATATTGTTATAAAGTATATCGATCTCGACACGAAGTGTCCAGTATATGTGTAATAATAATGCGAGTGCATTTATGTATATAGTGCACTGTAATAAAACGCGAAAGATAAAAAATCAAAATCAATTTTGAAACCTTTACCGGTTTTTAATTACAACGCTCCACGTACAGTACCAACTGCTGCCTATATAAATATATATAATAATAATAATGTATTTATAACATACACACACACTTCTCCACGGGAATGTTATAATTACAATTACAGTAAATTATATTACATTATATAATATGGGTAATGATGTATGTATATAAAATATAAATAATATATTATATTATACATCACTAGCTCGCTATAATATAATATATGGTAGGAAGGTATGCTATCATCGTCCGGTTGTAAAACTATATATACTTTACATATTACATAATAATATATTACACACGTTAGACTGCACTGGCGTCCATAAAGCGCGTTTCTAATAGTAATAATATTATATAAATCGTAAATATCGCGAGGTTCAACAACTCTGCCGCCGCTGTACACTTGTCGCGTTCAAGCCACGCGCGTCAGGTCATTCGATTTTCGACCGATATTGGATATTATATTATTAATATCTCTGCAGATCGGAAACGCATCATATCGTTTCCGAGAACCTATACCAGCAATTTATATTAAGTTTCGGGTATTGATATCGCGGGTGGTGCATCGTGCACACGATATTATTATGATAAATTGCGAGCATCGTGTACACTTGTACGAAGAAGTCCATCGGCTGTGATGTATTATGTCATATCGCGTGTGTTCGATATTATATACGCATGAATGGATTACTTTCCGGAAAAAAATACTACTACAGAGTTACAATGTACACATGTACAAGATGATTTATGTGCACAAATTGTCGGAAAAAAGTTTTTTTATTTCGTAGAAAAAAAAAGTATTAATAAAAATTGATACGGCTGGTATGCAGGTACAATACCACATTACCACGTTAAACATAAATATATATCTTATTGGTATTATGGTCATCTAGTGTTTATAATATCGTATCGATAATCGATCAACTTAAACTGCGCGCGATGTTTCAGATCGTTATCGACGCGATTATAGAACCTGTTGATATGTAACGCTGCGGACACAGCAGCTCGCGCGCACGCGCACGGCGCGGTAAAATATCGATTGAGTTGAATAATAATATTTAAATAGTGTCCGCCCGTCGTACACACACACACACACATATATTATATATATATATATATATATATATATATATATATATATATATATGGACATATTATATATTCGAAACGACAAAACGTTTTTTTTCTTTCTAGTTTCCGTACGCCTCTGTTCACACGATCATTGTGAGAAAACCATAATAATAATAGTAATAATATACGAAACGGATGTTTTAACTCCATCGGTACACCTCTTATACGTGACCGCCATACCGAATATTTCGCCGAGCAATATTTTAAGCCGCGAACCAATAATATAGGAACAACGTTGTATGCATTCGCAAATATTGTTTTCCCGGACAATATAATTATTTATTTATATTCGTGTGACCAGTGCAACAGGGTAGAGTGTTTGCAGATATACGTATATTTAACTATGTTGCGGTAAATAATGAGTTTTAGGTGGGTTCATTAAAATATTTACAAAAATAAATACCTCTGCCCCGTCTCGAGTAAAATTATAAATATTGCGGAGTCAATATAATATCATGTTGTGTAAAATTCATCCAAAAAAAACGAACGGGACGGAATTTTGTTAAAACCAATACCTATAATATTAGTTATTACGCATATTAATATTGTACGTAACAAGCCCCCTCCGGTGACGATCGATGTGTTCCGAAATAGTAAACGAGAACAAATAAATCCCACTCCTAAAATCAAATGCCAATTCCTACTATTCATACGTCATCGACCGCCGTTAAATATTATGCGTGATGCGAGACTTCCGGTTTATGGATTGTAATGTGCATAAACTCGGAACTCAAAGATTGGGGGACTTTCCCAGAGACCCTACGGTTGTACATCTACCAGTGCACTAGGTGGTTATGTACACATTTCAAATTGTATGTATGCATAGACGATATGTGCAGTGATATATTTGAGTGACGGCGCTCCGTGAGTGTGTGGTGTGTTAACAAATTGTGAAGCAGGTGTTTGCATGTGCATATAGGTAGTGGCGGTGTCCCGCGATCGTCGGAAAGGATTAATACTACGGTACACAGAGGTCCCGTTGCCGCGGGTCTTTGAGGGTCGCTTTCGGCTCCTTTTGGTGTAACATCAAGCATCCATCACCACACCAGATGTATAATACACACTTAATACCGTGCGACACGCACACGCCTCACAACAAGCTCTCTCTCGTAACGTGGCCCGGACAAATGAACGTGGAAGAAAAAAAAACAGTATAATGAACAACATGTATACGTCGTCGGGAGAAAACTCGAGGGTGCCGGCCGAAAATAATAGCGCGTGGTACGTGTATTATAATAGTGTGGAATAATGAAAATACGCAGAAAACGCGACGACTACACGATACGACGACGACGACGACGACGACGACGACCGCCTGTTGGGCGAACACAACACCTGATCATTGTCCTTCGCCGCGGGACGTATCGAGTGCGCGCGCGCGCGCCCGCTCACGAGGGGCCCGGTCGGCTCTGAAATAATATAAAGGCGTGCGTGGTGGCGGCGGCGGCTGAGGGCGGGGAAGGCGCACTCGAAAAATCTGTCACCACTCGCTCGCTCGCAGTGCGTGTGTAAACGTTGGTGTCGAAAACGACAAGTCCGACGGGCGGAGAGGAGAGAGCGATTAAATGCCTCGGCCGGGGGTGTAGAGGTGGGGGGGGGGACATGAAAAACTAGAAGATATCGTCGTCGTCGTCAGACGATAGTGCGGTGAACGTACCGCTGTATAAAAAATAAAAATAATATTACAATATTGAGCGCGAGCTGTTTGGGAAAAAATTAACAAATTCCCTGGCCACATTATATTATTATGTACCACACGGCACACAGGATCACGATTATGGACCACGCGCGAACGGAAAACGTGCTTGAAACTCAAATTGCATCATGTGTGCGCCGCCGCCGGTATGTCGTCGCGGTAGTACCTATATATGTGTACATAGGAATGAGTAGTAGTAGTAGTAGGAGTAGTAGTGTAATATATATTTATATATGTATTTATATGAGTATGGAGAGAAAAAAATGAAATAATAATAATAATAAAAAATAAACGAAAAAATGTATTTATACTAAATTGCTGATAATTTAATCGGACTGCGCGGCGACTGGCCGAGCCCGATTTCATTTTTTTCTTTTTATTATTATTATTATTTTTTTTCATTAGGAACATTATTACGTTTAAACTTGCGCGCACCGGGGCCATAAAAATAAATTGGATCACACAGGGTCCGCGCGGGCGCGAGAGAGAAGGCCGCCGAGCGACGTGGATCGGATCTATCTATATAATATTATATGCGCGAGCGGACTCTTTAATTAGTTGCGCTGTTCACGTACCTATGTATTTGTGAGTGTGGATGTGTGTGTATGGGTGTGCTCTCGCTCCTCCGGTTTTTGTTGTTTTTTTTTTTTATTCATTATTAATACACACGCACGCACGCACGCACACACACACATAAATGCATCGTGTGCCATTTTCATATGTACGGGATGCACAGAACATCACGAGTGGCGCACGGTTATAATAATAATATTATAGTGGCGGTAAATTAAAATTGATGAAAAAAAAACTATACGTGCATTTCGATAAATTACACGAACACGAATTTAATCGATTTCTACGGGTTCTACATTATATTACATTGCTGGGATCTATTATTATTATTATTATTACTACTATAACGACGACGGGAATAGTATATAGTATAATATATATATATACATATCACATAATATAATACGCGTGCACATAGAGTAAGTCGGCGCTGTCAATTGTTGATCACGAACGAATAAAAAAAACTTGAGAAAAAAAAATTGGCATTTTCAAATGTCTCCCACTCGACATACATATATATATAATATGTATATAAATATAATAATACGTAATATTGTAATATACAACTGCACCCGCTGCAGTATGGCATTATAATAATAATAATAAAAAAAACAATAATAAAAACACGCACTGCGGCACATATTATTATATATTATTATTATTGTATTTAATATATATGTATAAATAGAAAAGACGGAGACAGAGGCAGTGCAGGCTACAGCGCCCCTTGGGCAAAACCAAACGAAAGAGGAGAAAATAAAGGTAAAAAACACACGACACACAGTGCGCAAACCGCGCGATCCGCGAACTTATATACGTGTACTTATCTCCAAGCCGGGATTACATATTACGATTGTGTGTGTGTGTGTGTGTGTGTGTGTGTGTGTGTGTGTAATGTGCATGTACACACACACACGCGCGCATATAAATACCCGTTGCGCGTGTACGCGGTGCGTATATAATATACAAAACAAAAAATAAATAAATAAAAAATTGTAAATAAAAAACAATACGACAACGGTCGGTCTCGTTCCAACTCACACGCGGGGTGCACCCATGTCCCGCAGTCGGTCTTTGTCTCCTCGGGGCCGCAAGCTCATTGAACCGCTCGCGCTCTCTCGCCGCGCGCACACCGCTGCACATATTATAATATTACACACACACACACACACACACACACACACACACACACACACACACACACACACACACTCGCGCGTATATTAGCAGACACACGCACAAACGCAGATACATAATATTATTGTATATAAATACGCGACGAGTACGTTTTATCTCGCATTTCATTTGGTTACTTTACAAATGAAAACGATGTTGAAAATATTAGCATAATGGTGTAATGGATACGACGGCGGCGGCGGCGGCGGCGGCGGTCAGTGCTGCGTACACCCGAGTCTGGTTTGTTGTGACCCCCGCCACCCGACGCCC